TCTGGCACAGTCATGCTTTTTCTGTGGAGCTGGCTGTCGATATCGAACATGACAACACACTCGTGCACATGGACACGTTTTCGAGCTGTATTTGGGGGAAGAAGGTAGGAGAGAGAGAGAGTTGATTAACCGCTTCTAAGGGCCTCGCCACACAACTGTAGTTGTTTTTTTTTTTTTTTTTGTCGTAGTTTTTTTTTTTTTTTAAGGAGAGAGTTGGTAACCGCTTCTAAGGCCTCGCTACTCCCCATACTTCCAGCCAACAGCCTCTTTTGTTGTCGTAGTTGTTTTTTTGTTTTGATCGGACGTGTACTTGTGATAACAGTATGCTGCACGGAAAGTACTCCATCCATTCTAAGTCCTAACCTCCTGGACGTTTCCAACCTGCTCCGTTAACCTCTCTTATGGCCAGTGGCACCTAGTCGCTTACCTCCAAGGTCGGGCCTTTCTATGGGATTCCCCTCTATAAGACTTATGGCCCCCCTTGACTGTGTTGTCTCCCAGGTCAGCGGGGGGATAGAGAATAAGATACAGTTTAGTCTCCCCCCCTCGTTGTGGCAGTTTTTCAGGGACTGTTGCAAGTCGCTCTTCTGTTTTCCGACGATCCCACTGGCAAAGAGGATTGGAATAACTATCTGAGTCAGGACGTGTTCCGGGAAGAGATCCAGAAAAGCAGATCGATTACAGTTTTTTGTACCTGTCCACAAACACGTCCAGATTCAGACACTTATTCCTATCCTTTTTGCCTGTGGGTTCTCGCCCCAAGATACAGTTTGGTCTTTCCCCCACGTTGTGGCAGTTTTTCAGGGACTGTTGCAAGTCGCTCTTCTTCTTTTTTTTTTTTTTTTTTTTTTTAATAACAAAAACAGAACCTTATGGTTCTGGCTTCCTTTCCATTCTTGGTTGCTTCAGTCCGGTTCCTATTCCACTGGCAAGTCAGAAATAGTTACATTGAGTACTCACACACGCTCCTCCCCCGTATGGTGTGAAGGCCCGAAAGATGGCATTGATTACTTCCCCAGGAAGGATGTACCACACTTCACCCCTGCCTAAGTTAGCCTGTTTGATGTACTCTTAGACTTGGAAGGCCTCTCGGACTTATGGGCCTGTCCTGCAGTTACTGAAGGCTTGCTTATGTGGGCTGACTCTAGCTTTTCCTCTCAGCTGTATGGCTGTCAGATCTGTGTGGATTGCTGGTAGAGCTAGTTCAGCCTTCATTTGCGCTCTTGTCTATCACTCTAGACTTACCTTTCTAAGTGCTGTAGTGCTCTTTAGCCTTAGGCTGCGTATCAGGCTTCTTTTTTTTTTTTTTTTTTTTTTTTTTTTAAACAGGTCCTTATGGTCCTGGCTCCATATCCATTCTGCGGAGCGTCAGTCCGGTTCCTCTCCACCGGCAAGTCAAACAATGGAATACATGGTGAACACTCTCACGCTTCCTTCCGTCTGGCCGAAGGAACCCTGACCAGCATTGATTGCTCCATATSYGGAGGATTGACTGTCAGCTTGCCCTACCCCTTTTCCTCTCAGAATCTATTGTGACTCTGTCAGATGATTCGTATAAAGCAAGAACAGAGGAGAGTTGTCTATCCTGTTGAGATTATCATCTCAGTTTGCCCCTCACTGGGTTACCGTCCGTGTTGGAGGTGGGCTGTGCCACTTCTTCCAAATCAATCTGTTGTCTGACACAGTTGCTATCTTTCCCTGTAAAAGCCAGTTTCTCGTGAAGATCCGTCTCTTGACGGCTATCCTTTCTGGTCTGACCTTTGTTGTTGATATCGCCTCCTGCCATCTGGATCGAATCTCCGTTTCAGCCATTCCCAGTAGTAGAACCCACATTTCTTCTCTTGCCACCTCGGTACCTTCAATAGTYTTGGTACATCTCCTTTTCCAAATTACCCATAGGGCCAGCTTCCTGAGCAGGTGAAMCCAGACTTCTTTGCCGCCCTTGAGATTGTTAGTATTGTTGGATAGGAGCAGGATGTTCAGGGGGGGTGTGGGYGGGGGGRGTGATGAGAAGAGGAGGGACCATAGATCGTGCACCTTGTTCCATATCCATGCTGCKTCCGTGCAGTACAGGAGGCAGTGGSGTATATCTTCCGGGCTGTTGGCTGTGCATAGCCTGCATAGTTCAGAGCTGTCAGGGTCCGTATGTTTCCTCCTCTTGTKGAGCCATTGATTGACCGGCAGCRATGTGTGCGCTAAGAGCCATTGCATGCTTCGAATCCTAACCGGTCTGATGGACAGGTACTTCGTCCATGGGATGGAAATGGGGTCTGTGGGGTCCAGATTCAGGATCTCCCTCCACTTTCCTTTGAGTCTGGGGTCCGGATCTGTTGTTTGTAGACCCAACTTATACCCGAAGTGCTAATTTTGACAGGTCCCTTTTCCCTCGAAGTGCTAAACCCTAAACCCTCTTCACTTACCTACTTATGAGGGGTGGTATAGTGTCGGTGGAAGGTTATTAGGAGTAGTGGGGGGCTTAGTGGGTGTGGGATAGCCAAGCGGGGGTGGTAGAATTTTCTGGTGGGGTGGAAGGTGGAGGGGTGGGGGGTGCTGGCGGGCATGTAGGGTTGTCTGTTCCTTTTCATTTTGTCGGGGGAGAGATGTTGTGGGAGAGATGGAGTGGGGACTGTGAGTAGAGAGTTGTCGGGTTAGACAGTGTGATGTGTTATGAGGGCGTTTGTGCAAGTCGCTCTTCTGTTTTCCGACGATCCGTACTTTCCTCCCTGGTGTGAGTGGTTCCCCACCACCCTTAGGATCCCCGTGCATATGTACATAGAATTTCTTCGGAGACTGAGAATCAACATACACAGGTGCTGTGAGGGAACAGCAACACAGATTTGCCAATTGTGAAGGGCAAAACGTAGCTCAAACGATTTTGAATTTTCAACGAGACATCGCCATCTCCCTACATCTCTGGGTCAAACTCAAAATGTACGGAGACGGAGACATTTAGGCGAGAAAATTCCAACTTGTACTTTTAAGCGTGATTTGGAACGAGCCCGGAGCTACTGTGTGTGTTTGGAAGTTAAGAAAAAAGGAAGAAATGCGCCGGCCTGCCTGCCACCTTGGTATTAGCACTATCAGATAATCCGACCCTTTGTTCTTCCCTATGCTCCCTTCTTTCCAAAAAAAGACGGGCAAAGATCAACGGTCTTGAGATATCATCTCACAGACTGACTGACCCCGTGTGAATACTTATCTCTCATTCCATTGGGATTCGAACGCGGGTCCGTGTTTCAACAGTTTGTGGGTTTAGTACCGACTGAGCTTGGCCAGTCGGTGTCATTTCTTCCCTTCTTAGGGTTTTGTTTTGGAGGTGTACAGGAAGTGCAGAGGAAGGGGCCACTACCTGGGGGAGATGGCCGCCACTACCTACTGTAGGGCGCTCATTGAGTCATTGCTAACATTGTTGTACAAGATGGGGGCCAGAGAGGACATTCGAAATTACCAACCGATAACCTTTCCTTTGATAGTGTACCAGAGAATCGTGACAGCCTTCGCTAACCGCCTGCAGAAGCCGCAGAAGCAGCCGTTTGAAGGCCTCGTTGGTTCGCCACGGTCCGACTGGTTTTCTGCAGAACCAGGATATCCAGGGCAAACATTTCCTTTGGGTCAAAAGGAGTCAAAAGGAGTCCCCTGAACGGCCTGTACACGGCCCCAGCCTTGCCAAAAATGCAACTCGTAGCCTACGAAATTTTCGGAGGCTTGGCCTACCGGACCACAATGGCTGGAGGCGGCAGCCAAGAAAGAAAAAAAATAAGTGCTCCGCTGGCGGTTCCGAAAAGCGTGGCTGGACGTTTCTAGTCTGATGAACTTGGGTGCTCCTGACGTTTCTAGTCGGATGAACTTTGGGCGGTCCTGTAGGGGCCTGTACGTTTCCTAAAATTTTGGCTCGTTAACGGGCACGGCCTTAGGAAGTACTATTGTAATAACCCTGTTCAGAAGTAGCATGGGGCTCAGAACTCAGCCCCAGGAAACGCAGATCTGAGTTGATCTGCGCTGGGCTGTGTGACCAAGGCACGCCCAGGCCTGAGTGTGTCGAGTGTGGCTGTGTGACCGAACACTGCACACAGGAAATTGAAGAGTCAAAGTCAACTGTAAAGCCAAAGGTACCGCACCCAGGCCCTTGGTTGGATACACTCACTTGTTGTGCGCAGGTACCCTGACAGCATCCAGGGTGGAGGGAATTTGGTTTCAGGCCAATCAGGGCCCTCATTCGCATTGAGATCTGGACGGCTGAGGGATACAGCATCCGGGGTCCAGGCCCTGCGTCAACACTACATAAGGGCTGACTCCCTGGCTTTGACATTCATTCTGTCTTGCGTTGATGCTGACTTCACGCGTTGACTTCAATGCTGGCTCGACGCTGCCGGCATTGTAACTTGGCGAGGCGCTGCTAGTCCGACATGGTGGCCGCCTTGCTCCTGTCTTCTTGGCATGCTGACCTTGCATTGTTGAGAACTGTCTCATGATCTGGGTTCATTACACTATTGATGGTTTAAGCTCTTCAAGCGATCGAGGAGTGACGCAGCTTTGATAAGGACTAGAGTCTATGACCACATTGATTGTCTGTAATACTCCGAATCCACATAGTGTATGAAGAAAAAAAACTGAATATGGTAGTAGAGAGATGTTTGGCCCTCTCCAACACCAGGTCGTAAACGTGGAAGGGCAGAGTTGCGATTGAGGTGGACACACCACTCAAAGGACCTCACGTGAGACTCCTTGGTGTGGCAACGAAGGCTAGGACCTACATAGATAGTACCTGCTGGAATCTCACTGTCTATAATGTGTGCAAGGTACTGCTAAAGGTGCATTGCGTCCATCCCCAAAGGCTGCTGGCAGCCCCACCTCTTTTTTCTTCACCTCTTCTTTCTTCTTCTTTCTTCTTTCTTCTTCTTCTTCTTCTTCTTCTTCTTCTTCTTCTTCTTCGCCGCCTTCTTCGCCTTCTTCTTCTTCGCCTTCTTCTTCGCCTTCTTCTTCGTCTTCTTCTTCCGAAGAAGAAGAAGAAGGCGAAGAAGAAGAAGGCGGCGGCGGCGGCGGAGAAGGCGGCGGCGGAGAAGGCGGCGGCGGAGAAGGCGGCGGCGGAGAAGGCGGCGGCGGAGAAGGCGGCGGCGGAGAAGGCGGCGGCGGCGGAGGCGGCGGCGGCGGAGGCGGCGGCGGTGGAGGCGGCGGCGGCGGAGAAGAAGGCGGCGGAGAAGAAGGCGGAGAAGAAGAAGAAGGCGGCGAAGAGGAGAAGAAGAAGGCGAAGAAGAAGCCGGCGGAGAAAGAAGGCGGCGGAGAAAGAAGGCGGCGGAGAAGAAGGCGGCGGAGAAGAAGGCAGCGGAGAAGAAGGCAGCGGAGAAGAAGCAGGCGGAGAAGAAGGCGGTGGAGAAGAAGAAGGCGAAGAAGAAGGCGGCGGAGAAGAAGGCGGCGAAGAAGAAGTAGCCAGGCTCTCTAGAGGTGGAACATTTCAGGAACGAAGAAGAAGGCGGCGGAGAAGAAGAAGGCGAAGAAGAAGTAGCCAGGCTCTCCAGAGTTGGAACATTTCAGGAACGAAGAAGA